ACCTGCAGAATATCTTAGTGTCAAAGTTCCTTTAGATGGTGTATTGGCAGTAACTCATTTGAAAAGCTATTTTGCCCTTGCTCTTGAAAGACAGCTTTGCTAAATAGACGTTTTAGTTGTTTCTTTCTCAGAGGGCACCTCCAAGGGAGTGCAGGCTGGCACAACGAGGGGGGTGGATGCAGGTGAGGAGAGGCCTCCCCTGGGCGGGGGGAAGAGGGGAGGGCATCTAGGGAGGAAGGCATGGACGGTGGTGATGGTGGGAGACTGGTAACATGGAGGAGGCTGGTCAAAATAAATACATAAAAGAAAATGAGTGGCAGGTTTCTCCCTGCCAGAGTTACAAATACGGAAACAAGAAACCTGCAATGAATCCTGTTGTGTTGAGTTAGAATTGGAAGTATCGGTGGGAACTCATGGTCTCATGGTCTCCAATAAATACAGACACAGAAAAACACACACTTAAATATATTCCTGACCGCCATCCACTGAGAGGTCCCAGAAGCAGTAACAGCCCAAGAGCAATGAGCACACAGCGCACTGCACGCAGCGTGCAGCGCAGACCTTGGTTTCCGAACACTATTCTCTAGCTTGGGGAAAGGCAGGATCCCAGTGCCGGGGCAGGGAAAGAGCAAGGTTAAGCACAGAACATCTTTAGGCAGAAAATAAGGACATACTCAAAAATAATAGGGATATAATCAAAGGACGCAAAACCAACTTTAAAGTGCTTCCACTGATCAAACTGGGGGCAACTGGAGCATCAAAACAAATAATGACAGATTACAACCCTTTGAATAAAACAGGAAACCATGAGTCCGTACCGATATAAATAAATACTGAATATATTGAAAGTTTGGTGAAGAATGAGAAATTTACATTTCAAAGTACATCTCAAAGTACTCCCCTCCCACCAATATTTACTAGATACAAAGGGGAAAAAAATAAACTTTACAGTTACTTTACAGATAATACTACCAGGAAAAGGACAAGTTGAAGTTGTGTGCCACCTAGAAAGATGCAATGAAAAGAACAAAGCATCCCTTCTGTGACATTCCTGTCAAAGATATGTATGTAGTTTGAGTCTAATCGAGGGATGTTCTTCAAAGTTAGTGATTTGTAAACCTTAAAAATGCCAAGATAATGAGAAAAAAGGAAAGACTGAGGAACTGTTCCAAATTAAAGGAGATGATAGAAACATGACATCTAGGCCAGGCATGGCGGCACATGCCTATAATCCTAGCACTCTGGGAGGCCGAGGTGGGAGGACCACTTGAGGTCAGGAGTTCGACACCAGCCTGAGCAAGAGCGAGACCCCATCTCTACTAAAAACAGAAAAAATTAGCCAGCTATGGTGGTGCATGCCTGTAGTCCCAGCTACTCAGGAGGCTGAGGCAGGAGGATGGCTTGAGCCCAGGAGTTTGAGGTTGCTGTAAGTGAGGCTGATGCACTCTGACCCAGGCAATAGAGCGAGACTCTGTCTCAAAAAAAAAAGAAAGAAAGAAACATGACATCTAAATGCAACATAAGATTCTGAACTGGATTCCCTGTACTATAAAAATAAATGATGGGATAATTATAAACATATGAACGGAGTCTGAAGGGTAGGCCTTATCAATGTTAATTCCTGATGTATTCCAATGTGTCAATGTTAACTTTCTGATTCTACAATTGTATTGTGGTTATGCAGGATAATGTCCTTGTTTGTAGGAACGCACTCTAAAGTACATGAGGGTGACAGGGCATCAAGTCAGCAACTTACATCCAAAAGGCTTGGGAGAGAAAAAAAGTTCTTTATACAGTACTTGCCACCTTTCTTTAAGTGTGAGACTCCTATAAGAAAGGCTGATATTCACCCACAGAAGTTGAATACTACAGTAGCTTCATCCCAGCTGGTAAACAATTGCTGCCTCCTCCCCGAGTGCCCTTCTCCAACTCCCTGCTCACCCAGCTCCTCTGGGCCTCCAGGACCTCCCGACCACCCCAGTAACTAAACAGTCAAGGCCCAGCACACCAGGGGCCTCCAGGACCTGGCTTCCCACCAAGGCTGCAGTCTACTTTGACAGGTCAGCGTGTGTGCCAAACCTTCCCTTAAACATTTTGATTTTAAAGGGAGGTATCTTCAACCACCCATTCAAACTCAAGAAAACTAAGGCTCATGGAAGTGAAATAACTTACCTATGGCCATACGGCTATCAAGTCAGGTTCCAGAGCTAGAACGAGACCACATTGCTTTTACATACTTTTATATATCAGGAAGTATAGACTGCACATAATAGCATACCCAAGGAAGGAGCAGAGTCAGCCAAATTATGGTTTCAATTGTGGTAATTATTATTTATTGGCTATAGATCCTTAGACGAATTCTATCTTTCTGAGATTCAACTCCTCAACTGTAAAAGATGGGATATACCAACCCACCTCCAGGAGTAAATGCGATGGATGTATGAGATAATGTTCATGAGAACATCCAACAGCATCTGGCATATGATAGGCACTCAATAAACTGTGTTCCTTTCCCTTCCTATATAAAACAAACTCTTTAAAAAAATTAAGCCTTACTTGGTAAGAATTGAAAAGCTACCCAAAATTACACTTCTAAGTTCCTCAAGGGAAAAAAAAAACCCCACTAGTTCTTACATTCCTTGCAAAATTTTTCGCAGGGATTGCATCAAACTGGTGCTTACCTTAACATGTTGTTGCAGACGGTGAAGCTGGGGGGGTAGGGGTAAGCCCCCCACGAGAAGCACAGTTTTCATGCGTGGCAGGCCACTCATCAGTTCTTTACCTTGCTTCTCTATCTGAATGGCTAACTCTCTTGTTGGTGTGAGAATGAGCGCAGCTGGAGTTCTGCTCTGCAACGATGTGAACAACAAGTCTAAAAACACCAGCAATTAATTCCTGCTGATATGAACTAAATCTTCACAGTGATTCCAGGAACACGGCCCTGTTGAAGTGTCCCCATCAGCCCAACTGGATACGAGCCCTCCCGCCTTCTGTTTGCTACAGATTTTTCCCTCTAAAAACCATCACAAATTAAACCCATTTCTTATGGAACACAGACACACAAAGAAAGATTAAAATTGGGCCACAGTAACCAAGGTGGGAAAACTGAAGGTGTGCTCTCAATTGGACCCTGCAATCTCTAGCCATCCTCCCCTGAGGAGAAACCCAATAGTCACTGTGGAGATCTGGTCAAAGCTTGGCGTTCTACCCTGGACTTTTCCCTCTCAGTTCTCTTATAGATTCACTTCTTTCTTTGTCCAAAGAACTTACAGATGAATCCATATCCTATTTCCTGTCTTATAGCTCTATTTTGGTCCTCCGGGAGTGTGTCTGACCTACATTTTGAACATCGAGTGCTTTCTTTTATTTTTCTCCTCACATTATCTTCTACTACTCTCTAGTTTTCCAAATTTATCTCCTTTATCTTTTCTCTCTTCGCTCACATTTTTTACTTGTTTCCTTCCTCGCCATACTTCATATCTCACAAGCTCACCAGGACCCCCTGGCAAATAGTAATCACTCAACATGTTGGTTAAACTAATTAGGCGTGAAAGTGCTTTATACACTGTAACAAGTAAGGCAGCAATATTTTAAGATGAACTATGGCTCACATTTAGGGGTATTTTTTTGAAACTCTGTAACGCTGTGTTCCAACTTTGGTATAATCAATTTCTCCAAAACACAAAACCCAAGGAGGCTCAATTGACATGTAAACTGCAGCTCATCTAGCCAGCAGGATCTTTCCCCCCAAATCAAAAGCTTATTCTTTTAATAGAAAATCTGTTAAAATATTTTGTAAGGAAGCAATTTTTTAGACCCTCAATAAAGAGATCTTTGGTTCAATATAACAAAAGAAAAATTCCCTAAAATTATGTTTTTCATACAAGCAGAAGCAAAATCACTAGGAGCACTAGTGACTAAAGTTCCAAATATTTAGTATAATACCAGCTTGCAATTTTAATATAGTTAAGGACGGAACTTGGTAAATACCTCATTTGTTTCTGAGAATGATACATGTGAACTCTGTCACTTACTTCAAATAATGCTCGGATGATAACAGGAAGAAGAAAAGCAGCTGTTTTTCCTGAGCCGGTATCTGCACTGGCCAGAATATCTCTTCCCAGAAGTCCCACCGGAATCATCTGCATTTGGATGGGGGTCGGCACTTCATAGCCTGATTTCTTCAAGTTGTGATTTAAGGCCTCAGGGAAACCACAATGTTCAAAGTCAACGATGGGCCTCGTGACGTCTTGCCCTTGAACTACAATTCCCAGCTGCCGTTTAAGATTTTCAACCTGGTCCTCCTGAAGGTTCAAAATGAAAGGGTGCTCTTTGTAGACATACAACGAATTCAGTGGAGTCTCTGGCTCCAAATCAGCTTTCTGCGGATTGCTGAGTTTTAATTTCTCTTCCTTTTCCTTAACTTGTAGAAGATGTTTTGCTTTGCACTCCAAGCTACACACATCTTCATCCGTCTTATCACAGATATACTCTCCATATCGGCCACAGACAACACAGACAGGTTCCCCTGGTTCTGCCCAGCGCTGTGTTTTGGAAAATGACTTAACAGGCTCTTCAAAAGGATGGCTGTCCTTTGTGCCCTGCTCAGGTCCTACAGAACTAACCTCAGCCAACTGGCCAGCTGGACTGGGGAAGGGACAAGACTCGCTGCTGTGCCTATCTGGTGTTATGGCTTCTTCTGTAACTAAAGCATCAAATGGAACATCTCTGCCTTTGTCTGACTGAAGGTCTTCTGCTTCTGGTTTAATTTTCTTAGCCACACAATTTTTGCCATCTTCATTAGCATGCCTCTTAATTTTCAGAGATCTTGGAACAAACATCCTTCAATATCCTGTTGATGAAATTATATAATCAGATTTATTTTACCCTTAATAAGGTTCACATATAAAGTACCATTTGATTATCTTGGAGTCAGCCTAGTGTCCCAGGGCTTTGCCTCAAAGGAACAGGGAAGACATCATGACACTACTTATATCAAGCTTTTCTTCCATTCACCAATTTCCTATGGTGAAATGATAGAGTCCTTTTCCTTATACCTAGGGAGCAGTGAAACTTTGCACACTGCTCAACACAGCTCTGCGCACATGCTCTACTTCTGATTACCTGCACTTTTAAGTATCAGATATTATAGAAATTCTGGGGCAAATCCTCCTGTTTCATTTTCATAAATACAGAAAACAAGAGGGATACTTCACAATTAGAATTTTTAAAATCAGGCCAGGCACAGTTGGCTCATGCCTGTAAATCCTAACACTTTGGCAGGTCTAAAAATGAGGATCACTTGAGGTCAGGTGTTCCAGCCGGGCAACATAGTGAGGCTCTCATCTTCACAAATTCTTAAAAAATTAGCCAGGCATGGTGGTGTGTGCCTGTAGTCCTAGCTACTGGGGAGGCTGAGCAAGGATTGCTTGATTGCTTGAGCCCAGGAGTTGGAGGTTGCAGTGAGCGATGAAAGTGCCACTGCACTCCTCTGGGCAACAGAGCGAGACCCTGTCTCAAAAACACAAAAAACAAAAATCTTTAAAATCAAAACCACAAACCATAGAGAAAAATGCTATTTTTATATAATGCTTAGTGATTGATTATATGCCAAACACAGTGCTTTACCTAATCTTCACAACAATCATGTAAAATAGGTTAGTACTTCCTTTCATATATGGATATACAGATATACATATTTTGATTATGCTCTAGTATACATATCTTACATGGCACATTATACAGGATATAGCACAACAAAAATACATTTATATGTCGCATTTCACACATGAAGAAACTGAGCCAGCTAGAGATTGCCTTGCCCAAGCTCACAGAATGAAACGTTAGAGCCCAGGCACTCTGGCTCCAGAGCACACGCTCTCCACCATAGCTATACCCATTGATGCCAGAAATATGTTTTTGCAAAATTACAGTGATTGGGAAAGAAGACTGTTAACCTAATTTTGGCACTATCAAATATACTAATAAATATTTTTCTCAACAAGATTTTTTTAAGATAAATTTCCAGATTCCAACGTCCAAAAAAATCCCAACAAAAATGCAACTGAGGCTCTAGAACTACCACCCTAAGTCTCCGAAAACCTAACCAGGAGGAAGGTGGGGTGGGGACGGCTCTAGCGAGCAGGGAAAAGCCTGGAACCGGAAGTCTCCAAATGGCGAAACGGAACCGGCTCTGGCAGGGCGGGCGGCGCCGCCTGCAGTTCTCGCCCGCAGCCCCCGCACGGTCGCGCCTTCCCAGACCCTCCCCCGGGCGTCGCCTCCCGCCCCCGCCAGGCGGCCCCGCACCCCGAGGCGCGTGCACGTGACGGCGCCGCTCGGGGACGGGACGGGCGGGGCGCGGAGTCCCGGGGGAGGCCCGGGACGGGCAGGGGAGGGAGGAGGCCGCAGGGATGGGAGGGTACCGCACAGAGAGACCGTCCCGCCGCCCGCGTCCCGCAGGAGGGGAGCGGGCCGGCAAGGAGGCCAGAGCGGCCGGGGCCGCGGCGCGCTCACCCGCGCAGACCTGGGCCCGCGTCCGCTCCCGCTTGGGGCCGGCTCCCCCTCTCAGGTGCTGGGCCGCGTTTCCTGCCGACAAGCCCGGACCGGCTCGTCCGGACGGCGGCCTGGGAGGGGCGGTGCGGAGCGCAGATTCCACTTCTCCGGGTTTTGGGAGGGGGCACGGCGCGGCAGGGGGCGGGGCGAGCGTGAGAGGCGGGGCTCGGTGGGAGGGGGCGGGGCGCGGCGGGGAGGCGCCGGCGGAAGTGGGCCGGGAGGAGGGGCGGGGCCCGGGAGCTCCGTGCCCCCTGCCCGGCTCTGGGCCGGCGGTCAGGCGCGGAACCCGGCTCGGAACCTGGGTGTGTTCTGCACCCAGGAGCGCGTTCGGGGATTCTCTTGGAAGGATTTACGTAACCAAGGGCGCCAAGACGGGTGAAAGAGGGACCGTCCGGAAAGACGCAAGAGGGAGGGTGGGGGCCTGGCACATTCGGACAGCGGGAGGTCTCAGCGCAGAAGGAGGGCGCCCCTGCCCGCTGGGCGAAACCTCCGCGGCCTTGACCTAGTAAAAGATCTCAAAAGTGACACAGAGTAGCTTGGTGCGGCGTATTTGATATGCTGCATAATGTGTCCACCACCACCGCACCCCACCCAGCACCGAAAAGAGAAGAACGCGAGTCACGGCCCTGGGTCGCCGCGGTCCGCCCTTTCTCTGCTGCGCCAGCCTTTGGGCCACGTGTCCACGCAGCTTGCAGTTGAGAAGTGCTGCGGGAGGAGAACGGAGGGCAAAGGAAGGCGGGAAGCTGACGTTAATGACTGAGAAAATACTTTCAGGTGCCTAAAGTATTTTTCAATCTGATACGCATGCATGCGAAATAGTGTATTAAACAAATGCATAAAATATACAGCACACTAATAAAACTTGTGACTCCACCATGTTATCAATAGTTAGCATCCGTGCATCCCCGGGATTCTACCCCTTGCCTCACCCCCCACCACCACCACGATCGTGAATTTTGTCTCTCCTTGCCATTTTTTAGTGGTTTTATCATATTTGGATGCATCCCTAACAATATATTGGTTTTTCTTCTTTTTGAGCTTTATAAAAATAGTATAACATATGTAGCCTTCTGGGATTCACTCAACATTTGTTTTTTTTTGATTCATCCAAGTTGTTAAGTGTAGTAGTGGAACATTCATTTTTTACTGCCTAGTCAAAAGGAAGTTTTCTCCCGTCAGGAGTGGATTCAATACTACATCGCATATGATGCTAAATGCATTTTCCATATTTTTTTATTGACGGGAACCACACCGACTAATTTTATCAGACTTCCTGAGTTTGTAGGTCACAAACCCATAACAATTCTTTCCTGGGTTTTGTGACATTTGTAATTTGTTGTGATTTCTTGTCCCATTATAAATAAATATTCACTTTCGAACATAATTTTCATTCATAATTCTGTATCTTTTTCTTAAAAAGCCTCCCCCTTCTCCAATTATATAAACTCATGTCCCCACAAAACCTGAATCTGGGCGGGGCGCGGTGGCTCACGCCTGTAATCCTAGCACTCTGGGAGGCCGAGGCAGGTGGATCGCTCAAGGTCAGGAGTTCGAGACCAGCCTGAGCAAGAGCGAGACCCCCGTCTCTACTAAAAAATAGAAAGAAATGATCTGGACAACTAAAAATATAGAGAGAGAAAAAATTAGCCGGGCATGGTGGCGCATGCCTGTAGTCCCAGCTACTCGGGAGGCTGAGGCAGAAGGATCGCTTGAGCCCAGGAGTTTGAGGTTGCTGTGAGCTAGGCTGACGCCATGGCACTCACTCTAGCCCGGGCAACAAAGCGAGACTTTGTCTCAAAAAAAAAAAAAAAAAAAAAAAACCTGAATCTGCCCCCAGTAATTATGAAGAATGCTGGTAGGAGCATTCTTGTTCACCTTGTACGTGTGCTCAAGTCTCCTTTGAACCTAGGAGTGAGCGCTACTGCAACAGAGGCTATGGGGCCGTTCAGCTGTAAAAGATAAGGAGAAGGTGTTTTCAAAGTGGTTGTGCCAGTCTATACTGCTGCCAACGCTGATCAGCTCGTACATTCCACATTCTCTCCAATCATTGTCAGACTTGTTGCTAGTCTATGGAGAATACATAGGTACCACTTTATGGTCTTAATTTCCATTCCCTACTTATTTCTGATAAGGTTGAGTATTTTTTTCATATGTTGATTATTCATTCATATTTCCTCTTTCTCTTCTAAGGGTTTTAAAATATATACATAGGCTGGTCAAGATGGCTTGCACCTGTAACCCCAGCACTTTGGGAGACAGAGGTGGGAGGATCAGTTTCAGAACTAATACAGTGAACTCCTATATACCCTTCACAAAGATTGACAATTTGCTGTTTTTGTGTGTGTTAACAAATCCACTGAAAAATATATTTTTTAAAAGACAGGAGAGACTGGGGAGAAGCAGTCTTCCTTACAAAAAGAAGATGTGTTTTTGAGAGAACAAAGAAAAGGTTTATCTTCCATAGAGAAAGTTCCTGCCCAGGTTCCCACTCTGGTCCACTTATACAAGTGAGGATACAAACTTGCTTGGTTCTGATTAGCTGGCACTTGTTAAATTCTAACTGGTCAACACAGGTCACAGTCTATTGGTTGAGTCAGGCAGTAAAAAGGAACACATAGCTATGAAAATCCCAAAGTTATTATATGTGATCTCTAGTCAGCAAGTGGCTGTTTGGCTCTATTTTGAATTTAGGCCCAGTTAGCCACTCAGGGTCTATCTTGAAGGATTGGCCCTTTCAGGGTTCACATGTATAAGAAAGATTGTATATAATATATATATATTTCCCCCTGAACTATTCGAAAGTAAGTTGTGGCACCTATCTCCAAGACAAAGATCTTCTCTTGGGTATCCACAAAACAATGTTCAAATTTAGGTAGTTTAACACTGATGTAGTACTAACAGCTAATATATGGTCCTTACTGAAATTTTACCACTTGTTCCAGTAAGGTCCTTTAGAGCAATTTTTTCCCCCAATCCAGGATCCAGTCCATGAACTTTTCACTTTCTTTACAGAGTCTTTTGATGAATAAAAGTTCTTACATACAATGTGGTTAAATTTGTCAAATTAGTTTTCTTTTGTAGGTAATAACTTTGATATTTAAAAAATCCTTGCCTACTCTAACATCAGAAAGATATTTTTCTTAGAATTTTTTGGAAAAGTTTTAAAGTTTTGCCTTTCACATTTTAATCATTAATCCAAACAGAATTGGGGTTTTTTGTTTTTGTTTTTTTTGGAGAGGATTTTCTTTTTTCCTCCCTTTTATTTTTAGTTAACACATAATAATTGGACATATTTATGGGATACAGAGTGATGTTTCGATATGTGTATACAACGTATGATGATTGATTCGGGGTTATCAGCATATCCATCACCTCAAACCTTTACCATTTCTTTGTGTTGTGAAAATTCAGAATCCCCTTTTCTATCTTCGTATGGATTGGTTTTTCTCTGGTATGAAGTATAAATCCGCTTCTGTGCTTTCCAAATGGCCAGCCAATTGTCTAAGTCACATTTATTAACTAGAATCCTTCCTCCAGTGACCTGCAGTGCCGTCTTTGGTCGTATATCAAGGTTTTACTTGTGCAAGTCTATTTCTGGACTCACTGTTCTCTTCCAAGTTGTCTACCTTTGTGCCGATTCCATCCTGTCTTGATTATTATAGCTTTATTATAAGTTTTCCTGTATGATTGAGCAAGTCCTGCCACGTTAGCTTTCTCCAAAAGTGTCTTGGCTATTCTTGCCCCTTCTTTCATATGCATTTTAGATTCAATTTGTCAGTTTTCAGAAAAAGTCCTGATGTGATTATGATGGGAAATGCATTAATTCTGTAGATCAATTTGAGGGCAGAATTGACATCTTTACAATATTATCTTCCTGTTTATCACTAATTATTTAGGTTTTCTTCAATGATTTCAATACAGTTTTCTTTCTCCAGAGATGCTTGCCCATTTTTGGTTATTTATTTCTAGACTCATTACAGTTTATATTATTATTGTAAATGGCATTGTTTAAAAGTTTTTAAAAAATATTTGCTCATTTATAAAAATGCAATTGATTTTCATATGTTGATTTTATAGCCCCTTGTTAAATACTCTTTGTATTTCTAATAATTTCTTGATTAATTTTAGTTTTCTATTTAGACAATCACATCTTAAGTGATGTTTGCTTTGTTTTTTCTTTTCTTTTTCTTTCATTTATCTTACTATGCTGGCTACAATCTCCAATACAGTGTTGAATAAATATCATGCTAGCAGACATTTCTGTCTAGTTCCTGATTTTAAAAGAACTTAATTCACATGTTTCCTCATTAAGAATGATGCATGTTGCAGGTTTTTCAGACACCTTTTATTAAGTTAAGGAAATTCTCTTCCATTCTGAATTTGCTAAAAGTTTTATTACGAATGAGTATTGGATTGTATCAAATGCTTTTTTCTCTTTTTCTTTTTCATTTGTTGAGATTAGCAAAATGTTTTTTGTGTCCTTATTTATCAATATAAAGAATTATATTTACAGGTTTTTCAAATGTTAAACACCTTTGCATTTCTAAGATAAATCTAATTTGGCCATGATATCTTTTATGTTAGCATTTTGTTTAGGATTTTAAAATTTTAAGTGAAATTGGCCTATAATTTTATGATTTTCCTTTCTTATACTGTCCACGGTTATACCAGCATCAAAGAATGAATTGGGGAATAATTCTCTTTGCCATCCCCCATTCTCTGGAATAGTTTGTATAAGATTGAAATGATCTATTTGCTAAAGGTTGGCAGAACTTCCTATAAAATGATCTGGGCATGGAGGAGTTTTTTGTGGAAAGATTTTTACCTTTAGATTTACTGTCTTTAATAGTCATAAGGCTAGTCAGCCTTTCTTAAGGAATTCTTTAGCCAGTTTTGCTACATTTTTAATGTCCTTTTCAACTAAGTTTTCATATTTATTGATTATAATATCAATTCTTCAAAGTTTCTTGAGACTTACTGTATGAGCAGTCTATGGTCAATTTTTATAAATGTTTAAAACCAGAGAACCCAGAGAAGAATGTTTACTCACCAATAGACAAGTACAGTGATATTTGCAAATAAATCAAGCTTGGTAT